ATATATAACAATCATGTATAACGTACATGTATACATATTATAAATGTATGTTATACATGTACAATATAACAATACATGTATAACATATACAGGTAAACAAACGCATATATATATATATATTATAGATACACACACACTGGATACTTTTACTCTCATGTGAACGTTTCTTATTCTTTTTATTCTAAATATTACGTTCATGTTTTTTTAATACTGTGTTACTATATCGTGATCTAGCAGCGCCAAGTTTTTCACATGACAAATTTTTCTATTTAAATTAAATTTTTTTCATTTTATATTGAAATGATATCAAAAAGAATAGCAAAACGTTTAATATCTTCGATGAAAATCATTCCACATTTTTTTTGGTGCTCTGATCAAAAAATTTCTAGACATACTACTGTACTATATATGAGCATATAGTTTTATACAACATTTTTTCTATAATAAAGGAAAGAAATATAATTTCCACCAGTATATTTTAAAGCAGCTCCAAGGAGGAATATTGTTATTATTAAGATTCTTACGGAAGCTGACTGTCATCATTAAGTTGCAACGTCGTTTCCGGAATGCAAAGCGTAATGTACCGTCTTTGGACAATCAGAATGCGGCATTAAGCACGAGTTGAAGTAGTTTCTACCATTGTCGACCAAATGCTTTATTCAGCGACGTGTATATTAAAAAGAATTGTATTCAAAGACTTATATTTGCTCTACAATTAAATTATTTGAAGTATAAATAAAATATTTTGAATTTGTATTATTTCATTATATGATCACTTCAATGAGATGTTATAATTGCATTCTTTTATTAGAGCAAATATTTATATTAAATTTATTAGAACATATTTCAAAACACGTTCCAAAAGATTTTATATGATTTCACATATTTTATTAAAAATCATTATTAACGTACAGAATACATGATTCCATCTGTTTCATCGACAACGTGAAAATACTTTTCTTTATTCTATTATAAGAACAAAGAGAAGCACTATGCGATCCAATTTTTGAAATTTGTTGGAAACTGTAAGACGGGACCAAAAGAAGATTACCCTTTTTCTTGTGAATCCATCTAATAATTTCACCGAAAATAAAACCGCTTTCAGAAACATATTCACGGTACCACAGGCAATTCTAATCTTTATGAACAGATCTTTATGTCGGAAACGCAAACTAATCTATTTAGGAGTCCTGAAGATATCCTTACGAAATCTTGAGTCGTAATATAATATATAGGATTACACAATTTCTTTCAATTCATTAAAAAGTTTTTTAATTTCAAATTACAAATTAATTCTTTATTAATTTGCATTTTATATGCATAATTTTAATATATTTTGCTACGTTAAATTTATATGCGCAAAGGGATGTTTGAATAAAGTACGGAATATGAAAAAAATACGTCTTCTACTTAAAATCAAATATTGAAAAAAATTTCTATTGTTTCTTGCATAATTTGTACGCGTCGTAATTAATTTAAAATCTAACTTTAATTTTATTATGTATCGTACTCGCTTTTTCCATTAAATTCAACAACGGCGTGACGATTTATAGGAAATTCGGACAGTTTGCTGTCGAGACTTTCGGCAGGCGGAAATAGCGGATGTGAGCGGAAACTGAAACAAATAATGAATGAAGTACCGTCTTTCAACGTAAAAAAAAAAAGCGCATTTCTTCCGGCAGTGCAAATGAGCTGCGAACCTCGGCCGAAGTGCAATTATCTCGGGCGAAGTGCATGAATTCATCTCTCCTCCATGCTCGATGAATGCACGCGCCGGCTACTCCGGAAAGATAAATATTCAGATATGCATAACAGGAAGAAGGCAAGAATGCGCGCCGCAGTCGCGATTTGTACGACCCGCCGACTTATTTCTTTCGTCTGGGACTCAGCGCCCATTGCCCCGTTAGAAGAACATTAATTTCGCGAAAAGTCACCCCGTCCTCCAGTGCGCTGGGTCACATTTACAGGGATGTAATTATACGAGCATGCGTCAAGAGAGAGAACCGTAACAGCGGTCTGTTCTTCAAAGAGTGTAACGCACGTCAAGCAGAAAATTTAATACGACAGGAGCTATTTATTAAATAATGTTCTCCTCCTTAAACGTTGCATCCCGTTAAACGGGAAAATTCCACTTTCGTGATAGAACGATCCTTTGCGATGCACAGGGCTTACAAAAATTTGCTCGGTTTAGCCGAGTCGTTTTATCGAAATTTATTCTGAATTATTCATTGGATTCGCCAATCTTATATACCCATCTACGTCTATATGTCTGTCTGTGATAATCACAATCCTCTTTCTCTGCTTTTACGAGCTAAACGGCGATGCAAAATTCATTTAGTTCGCACATTCAACTAATTATACTTTACCTATTCTCTGCCATCACGAGATTCGCGAGCCGAATTCGCCTTTGCGGTCCGCGTTACGCGGATGTATTAATAACTCACCATTGTTCCATCGCAACGTGAAATCGCTGACGAATTCCGTTGAATTTCAAAATTCTCGATTAATTACACAGTTAATTACGCAATCCCATGTCGCTCGCGAAACATTTCCGACGAGTCCCTCGCCACTCTCGCCACGGAACTTGTTGCGAGTCGACACGACGCATTCTCATTCGATCTGACACACAAAGAGACTGAAAATTATTAGACAAAGCTGAAAATTTCTTTAAAATCTCCTATCTTTAAAAATGTGTTTTACAGCTTTTTAAAATGTCATTCAGACAAAGATTATTCTATTCAAACACCCAAAAAAAATCTAATAATGAAGTGAAATTTTCAATAATCTCATATTCTAAGCGAAAACTTTTATAAAAAAAGTATTCCTCTTTCAATACAGTAGACTATTCATCAAAAATGTATTGGATATTATTCTAACAATTTTCCTCTTGTATTAAGAGGAATATATTTACTTAAAGCGGAGTGCGAATAATCCCTCTTAAGAATAAATTTATATTAGGAACAGCAAGATTTGTACTGCAGATGCAAGGCGAAATTATTTTAATATAAGAATATTGTGCATAAAATATTTTCCGCTTAATTTCGGAGAATTCCTCTTGAAGCCGTATATAAGAATAAAATCTTATATTTTTTTGGATGAAAAAATATATTAGGAACAGTTCTTTCCAATTTACATTTATATATAGTTTAATTAACGATTTGAATTTTTTACTTATATGTATATTAAAAGAAGAATTAAATTTTTTTTATAAATTAATTTTACATTACAAACGATTGGCGTGTTTTATTGCAAATTTTGTATTAAACAACAGGTGATCTAAAATAGTGTTAAAAATTTCATCGATAAGATTGTGATAAACTAGTTCTCGAGATAATTGCTCGTTCATCAATATCAAACCATCTCCGATAGTATGTGCATTATGGGTGGGACATATGTAAATACGATCATCATTTGAAACGTCCGCATAAAACCAAATAACGAATCCGATCGTGCGGCAAGAGACAAATGAACGCGGTTAATAGAAATGTATACTACAGGACGATTGTTCCAAAAATACACGTAACAGCTCGTGAATTCGCAGGATGCATATTAATCGACAGTAATCGTAGGGTGACGGGAAATGAGGAGGGCTATAATACGGTTTGATTTGATTTTTCGAGTAATGTATTACTTATGCACTTTAAATTTATATAGTGTTGCGAATGACCGCAAATTGTTTGAGCAATTTGTCAAATTAGATTTGGATTAAGTGAGTTTCGAGAAGTCCAACTTTTAACTGAAAAATTAAAAAGGTGTGAAAAATAAAGGTGCAAAATTGTGTGACAAATAAAAAGTCGCTTGAACGACAGGTGGACATTTTGATGGATATATTTGAAATTAATTTTTTCGGTCTTTTCTAATTTTTTACTTTTATTTATTTATTTGGTTACTTCTAGAATATGCCAGACTCAAGATTGAGTCTTTTGTTCGAAAAATAGCGTTACTGATGGGATAATAAAAAGTACTCATGTTTGCCGTTCGTCAGTCGAAGAAAAAGAAGAAAAGCACAAACCGCTCTCGCGACGCTCGTTCCAATTCCAGTACTGTTCGCCAAGAAATCAATCGAGGGTGCGAATGCCCCGACGCACGAGAAACACGTTGCCATTTCCTCTATGCCGTTGCTGTATTACACTGACCCCAATTCGGCAAATCCGCCGAGGCTTCCGACGTTCCAACATAGAATTACGTCAAACTTGAGACTGTTTCACCTCGAAATATCCATCCCGTTCCACGGTGAGGGTTCTTTAACAATTTATGCCTAGAGATTTCGTATCTACCCATACAAATGATCTAGAAACGCATTATGATACCATTTACTACCGCACGGTGAAATTTACGATTTTACATTTCACGCAGACAAGAGCTAGAAACACATTTTAGTGTGGTATAATAAGCAGATGGATTTGTAAATTAATATCAGGACAAATAGATATATTTTATATATTTTTGACAGGGGGATACAGAGAGATATATAAATATCAGGAAATTGAAAAATTAAAATCTGATTTAAATTTGAAATGTAATTTACTATTGTGCTTGGAAATTTACAATATTCTGCGGTAGATAAAAGTTAACATTTTAAAATGTATCATGAACAAATAAAATTGTAATCCGACAGTAGAATTTAATAAAATCTAAAAATTCGTAAAATGGTAAAACTTTAAAATATATACTTTTCAAAAGCTTGAGCAATATAAAGAACTGTAAAATAAATATTCGGAAAAATAATCGAGTCGAATAATATACTATGCAACCTCACATTTATAACACAATTCCACTTTTAAATTCCTTTATAACTGACAGTTTATTTTTAGGATATAACTCACGCTATTCGCGGTTATTACAGCCGCGAAAAATTAAATTCCTACATCTCGAGCACGTCTGTGCATTACATCCTCCTTGCTCACTGCTTCTCCGTACATTCCGCTAAGTCCCACTGAGATCGTCAGATCGCTGAAAATAAGGGAGAAGTATTTCACAAGCACTTATTTCTGTTTCAGGTGAACATCCGGCTGCGATGCAGCATGGAAACACAGCAGCCGGATCGCCCAACTCGAAAACGGTTCTGGTGATGCTTGCCTTCCTTCTAGGCCAGCTGAGATAATGTGCGTGCACGAAGGTTGCCCGAGTAAAATTGATGGACGTATCACAACATTGTCGCCCACACATCCTAAACGTTAACCCTTCCGCACAGATCGATCTGAATTAGATCTTAATTAGTTTCATCGTAGCGGCCGAAAGATTAAATGATTTGCAACATTATATAATAGTCATAATGATACAGTTATAAAGCGAGAATTTATAAGTTAATGAAAGGTTATTTATAAAAGTTTTTGATTAATATCAGTTGTGCGAATTTTATGGCTTTAGAATTAATTGATTTTTGAAGAATAATATTTCATAATCACTGCGATGTCATATACTATTCACCGTTATTGACATGATTGTTTTCTATCGCGTATATCATTTTATTTTATCGGGATTAAGTTTTTAAATTCGTTGAAATCGCGTACGAAATAATATAGAAATGCAGCGATTGTAAATCATAATTTTTTTTCAACTCCAATTTCCATTTATCTCGAAGCAGAAATTTTAATCTAAAAATATAAGCGCCGTTATGTTATTTTAATTGCGTGTCGTAATTTAAATACTCTCGTTGTGTAGCGGTTATCTCGCTTCTCTTAATCTAACATGAAAATCCCCATCCCGTTTATCTTAAACTTAACCGTGGGTTTGGCCGCTGGGGTGAGAAATACAAAGATAATCTCTAAGAGACAGCTCTTACGTAATAAAAGGGAAAGCTTTGTGCCTAAGGGTTAAGCGGAGTGTGAGGCAGTTGTATTACACGGTGTCTTAGAAGCATGAATTTCTGAGTCGACTTTTCCCAGCCGCGAAAGAATGAATCCAGAAAGAATGGACTTTTCATACATTTGTTATATAATGCAGCGACAGTATTTACAGATGAGCTGTACACATATAAAATGTTAAATAGCTGCGTAATGATAACCAGCGAATCGTATCTCCATCTCAAAAACATTCCCCAGTAATTGGCAATGTTGCACAAATGATATTTTTACCATCAATTTGCGTCCAAAATTAATAATTACAGCATCGTGTGTAACAACCTTTCTTTTAAATAACAAGCAGATGTTTTTTTTTTTACTAACGATATATATTATGCGTTTCGACAAACATCATGTTTTAACGAACTTATTTTTTCAATATTTGTTATTGAAAATTTTTTAATTATTTTTTTTGTAATCTATAACACGTCCATCAGATGAAATAATATCAATCGCAACACAATATTGCTCTAGATTTAATTCCAATTTTTTTTCTAACAATCGTAAACACCTAAAGGAAGGTAAACCCATTGACGTAATCCAACATAGTTATTTTCGCATAATAAGCTTCTTTTGCACTCTATATCCATAGATAAGCGAAATAAAGCGAAGAGTAATGATAAAAATTTCCTATTCGTGAATACTTGATTAGCCAGAAGTTCGTTTGATTTAGCTCAGAAATTAGTTTGTGCTTCATGACTTAGCATCGGTACGGTTTATTGTTGAAAATAATACGGCACGCGTTGAGCAACGATTTGTACGATCACGACGGAGCAGTCGAGAATTCTTATCATATCCACGAATGACGCAAAATGACGTTATCAATATTAAAGAATTTTAGCAGCGACATGGGAGATCCAGAGTTCTTAATTTCCTAATTAAGAATGCTTCGTACGAGAAGGATCAAAAGTCGCATCGTGTCGCTGCTGAAATTTTTAGGATAATTGCGCCGTGATGTCTAACGCGATGCAAACGTAAGAGAATTAATGATAACGCGCAGTGAGTATTGAGAGACGTAATAATTAAGCGCGCGAGCGTCGCTCAGACGAAGAGAAAGAGGAGGAATAGCGAGCAAATAAAACAGGACTACGCCCCGCGCCCTTTCCCGACCATAGTGAGGAAAGTGTTAAGTGTAAAATAAATGTGTCGCACGAGCAAGTTTAACCGAAAGAGCGATGTAATAAAACGGGTGGACCGACCTCCACCGGCTGCGAAGTACTTTCTACTTATGGCATAAGTGTTAAATGAAAATTTAAAGGAAAGACACAGAAGACACGCGTATACACACATACACACACGTACAAATAATAGTAGAGAAATGTATGTAAACCACGCGACTTTACGGCTCGTATGATTTACACCCACGACTAGCCCGAAATGAAAGAAAAAAAAAAATAACTGTTTTCCCACCCGCTCACACCCTTCTCACTGTCTTGTTTTCACACGGTTCTCTTGCGAGAAAGCGCATTCTTGTACATAATGTTTTACTCTTGTAAATAAATTACCCACACAACGTTCGTCGATTCATTCTCGCACCGCCTGTCCGAACAGCGGTTTCCTCACTAATCAGGTATATTAAGAAACGTCCTATCTTGATGAGGAAGAAAGGAAAAGAAAGAAGAAGAAAGAAAGAGAATTAATCTTGCTGGTCTGTCCTAATTTACTATACTTTTGGGTCAATATGATTAAAAAGATTTGAAAGATAAAAAAATGTTCACAGAAAAAGATTTTATATTAACAGACGAAGTCATCCAATATCAGAGATAAAAGTTTTTGAATAAAATATCAGTTAGAAAATAAATTACATTTTGGAACAAACGGATCCAAAGGTTAATTTAAATGGACCAACAAGGTTAATGTTGTTTATGTGGAAATGTATTTCCACATAAATAGAAGAATGATTTTATTTCTTCATTATTTTATTATTATCAGAATTATGGCGTATAACGGTAAATACAGAAATTTAGACTGAATGGACGATGTAAGTCTTTGTCTATCTCTGGGATGGTTGGCAATTCGGAGCTAATGGCAACGGCGAGAAGATGGCCCGCGAAGATCGATAGCCGTGACCCCGATGGCGCTCCCGAACTTTTCCCGTCGGGGATATTTAAGAATCCCCGGCTTCGGCTCATGAAGTCTCTCACTTGCAGACCATCCTCACAAAATAACGATGGCGCCCGATTAATTTCCTTTAGCTGCTCAATATCTCCGAAACGACATCGAGCGACGAGCTCCATTTGACCTCATTAGTTGAGTCGTTTATTCTGAGAATAAAAGGTAAGTGAATTTTGTTTCATAATTTCATGAATAAAAATAAAAGTAATCAAAACTAGCAGCTTTATTAATACTTTAATACTGGAAAAAGTAGAAATTTCCCAAGGAACACACAAAAGTCAACAAAAAAAGGTCAAAATAACTTTATTTTGATTCTTAACGTCAATAAACAGTCAAATTTTGTAACAAAAAATCATCATTTTGACTTTCATGACGTCAATATAAAGTCATTTTGACATTCTCTTGAATATTCCTTGAGTTATAAAATCGGATACTTGCATTTTAATTTTAATGGGAGATGGCTCTATAAATTTTAAATTTATTTCCGCGATATCTACACGATTATTCACGTCTAGATATCGAAAATAGAGTGATTCTAACGTCGTTAAAAACAAAACTTCTGTAATGGCTCTAAACTTATTCCGTAAGTTCGAAGTTTCTTCGTTAAACGATGTGTACATATATCGTAGGATCAGGCAGATGCGGCCCATAAAATCGGCATGCAGAAATCGATAATGGACTACGCGACAATCAAATCGGAGAGATCTAATGAATATTTATGCACATTAGTATCGGATGAATACAAAAATTTGTAATTGAGCTCCAAATTGTATTTATTCAAAATTTTCGCATAAAAAAATATGTAATCATATATTCATTCAAAATTTTGGGTTTTCAAAAAATATTTATTCACAAAAAAACTATGAATATTTAACGAGTATTCATATTCATTCAAACAAAATATAAACTGAAAAAGAGAGTTGCCAATAAGCGCAATCGTTATCCCTTAACTGTAATCAGCACTTTGATGACTTTAAGTAAAAAAAATGAATTTCATTTATTTTGTCATTGAAATATTCAGATTTTATGAAGGAAATCTTAGAAATTTTGAAAAATATTTTAAAAAGCAATATATTATTTATTTATAAATATTTATTTGATAGAGCGCCATACATATTCCGATATAATTCCGGTTACATCACAGTAATGTTATAAACACTTTGTAAGATATCTTGGGCGCATCGTTGATCATTTTATGGTCTGAGGACATTAAATTCCGAGATATATTATTTATTCCCAATAAAAATGTCTTTGTTTAACCTATAAATTAAACAAGAACGCCTATCGTATAGGTCACGGACTAAGAGCATGATGTAATTGTAGCCGCATAGTTTTTATAGATTTCTATTTTCTCTTGTAGGCTTACAGGCTATGTACAGATAATACAGAGTAAAAGTGAAACGAAAATATTCGTAATCATATTAAAAAAATATTCATTCAAATGGAATGAAAAAGTATTTATTCGTTTCTTGACGAATAAAAAGAGGTGTATTCGAATGAGTATTTTCAATCATTTTTTATTCATTTATTCGAATATTAGGTGTATTCACCGGACACACTAATGCACATCCATCGCCTTGCAAAGCCACGACAATCCGTCGATGATATACTGTGAATTTTTTAAGAACGTTGTGTCTCTCGCGCTACACGCCAACCCAATATATACGACTGTCGCCCGTTGCATTCACGAAAGCGCAAATGGAATATATATATTACACACGAATGCAAAGGGAAGGAAAATTAAAGGCGCATTTGGATGAAAAGCGAGTATATTCTGTTGAAGGAAAAAAAAAGTGTATCTGGTATTCAAACCGCTATTTCCAATACTGGACCGATATAACGTTCTTCGTAAAAAATAACCGAGATATCTCGTTGCCACTATTGAATTAGCTTACTAACTTTACTTGCTAATAGCTTTCAATCATTTATTATTTGAAACGAAATTCCTCAATATTAAAGCACTCTCGTGGGATTTTATATCGTCTGCTTTTTTTATCTGTACAAAAATGCACGTAGTTGTAGTTGTTAAACTTGTATAATTTTGGCTGCGTTCCACTTAACGTTCATAACGCTCGTGAAATCATTTCATCCTTGTTGTTTATCAAATGTTAAACAAGGACAAACGATGCTCGCAAGCATTGAGAGCGTTAAGTGGAACGCAGTTTTTATGATACCACTCAAGCAGAATACAAATCAAATTTTAAATAAGAAAAATCCTATATTCAGTCGAAGCTAATCTTAGTGCTTAAATACATATTTCTTCTGAATTAATACGTATATACATTCTGATTCTGCATATCCCGCGCCAAAATGTTTTCCAGACTTAAAACACATTCATGAGCAGAACCAGAATAGAAACATCACTTATTAAATTGTAACACTTATACGCTTATAATCAAATATAGGGCTCCTCTTATTTAAAATTTGATTTATATATTTATATCGGTTAGAAACAATTGTTTCATGAAATACAAATCATCATAACATCAAAATGATGCTAAAATGACTCTAAAATTCACTAAAAGTCACTTTTAAATCAATGACTGCGTTCAGTAGAAAAAGCAGCTTTGCAACTGTTGTAAAATTCTTCAATGTGATTGGTTTATACATTTAGATCCAGTGAGGAATTAAGGGCAAGACCAATCATATTAAATTTTACAACAGTTGCAAAGCTGCTTTCTCTGCTAAACGCAGTCATTAACGACTCATTTTAGTATTATAGGTTTGTTCGCTCCAACATGCTCCTACCATAGCTCCTACTCACTTTATCAAGCGTTGGAGTAAGTAAGAGCTATGTTAGAAGCATATTAAAACATGCTGGAGCATGTGACGCGAACAAACCTTATGATTAATTTTGATGTTATGACGATTGTGATTTGTTGTTCCGCTTGGATATTATTTCAACGACGCGAGTTAATTTTTACAATTACAATAAATAAGTCACTTGACAATTACGTGTTTGATTTCTCAGAATGTTTTTTTTCCTTTCTTTTTCCTTTTTCTGATACAGGTAGCGTATTTTGCCATTTTGTGCTCTAATTAAATTGAGTTTTGCTCTGTTGGACTTAATTAGAATTGCTCAACCACACACACACGTTTGACTTTTCCCTAACAAAATAACCACGTGTAAATATATATACACG